CCCCTAGCGTATATATTAGGTAACCTTAAAGTTATATAAGTTAACTTAAACTAGAATGCCTAGGCTATAGAAGCGGCACTCTAGGATACTCTCTAATTAGGTATCTACCTAATATTTATCTAGAAACTATAGACGATACTATAAGATAATATAGCTAATATATAATTAATCTCCTACCCCTCTATAATATAAATTCTCCTAACCTTCCTATAGGGCTTACGTCCTTAGATAATGCTCTACCTAAATAAATCCCTTACCTATATCTAGGTAAATCCTTACCCGGATATCTTCCCTAGCCCTAACTACCTTACTATAGATTTAACCTATAGAGAAGATACTATCCGCGTAGTTAATATCTATAATAAGGCGGAATAAGGTACCCTATCCTCCCTATATATAATAGAAAGAGTTATTAAGTATAGCCCCCCTACTATACTAATAATCTATATAGGGGACTTTAACGAATACTATCTAATATAGGACCTACTCTCCCCCTAATCTCATAAAGTAGAAGCTCTATACGAATAGATTAAGGAAAACTGCCTTAAACTCTAAAACTAACCTAGAGTAGGTACCTTCTTTTATATAGGGATAGAAAGAGAAACGGTTATTAACCTCTCCCTATATACTCTAATAGTTACTACTTAAGTGATCGACTAGTAGGTATAAGAGAACCCCCTATCTAACTATAACGCTATTCTCTTTACTATTACGTACGACGAGTTTTAAGATATACTAATACTACTACTATAGTTTAATATTAAAAAGGCTAACTAGGCCTAGTATAGGTAAATCGTCTAAGAAGAGTTAAATAAGATTATAAGTCTACTCGTCTAAGCCCTTCCTAATAGGGTATAATATATACTCTCTAGTAGGACCTTATAAGAGGACCTAGACTAACTTAGACGACGCCTTATAAAGGTAATAGAGATAGTAGCTAAATATAGCATCCTATAGGTAACCCCTAGATAGTAATAAAAACTATAGTAGTCCCTACTCCTTACGGCCTTAAGGATAACCGCCGTATAAGTAAGGCGTAGGGCACGTTACGACTAAGTTATATATATATAAGCATGGAATACATATAACATAGCTATTAAGTAGGTAAAATAAGAGTACTAGAATAACTTCCTTATAAAAGAAACACCCTAGTCTATCTATAAGGTAATAGTATATACGAAAGTAACCTAATCTAAGCGAATCCCCTAGATACGTAACCTTTAAGATTAACTCTAATCATTATATAATAGTAAGTATACCGCCTTCTATTAGAAACTCTTCCTCCTACTACTATACGTTCCCCTACGTAACTAGATAAACTATAAGAAAGGGCTATAGGACTAGCCCTCCCTTATAGATAAGAAAGTATAGTATGCCTACTCTTATAAGATTAAAGGCACTACCCCTAGGCTAGACTAGATCTACTAGAAGATGATTACTAAGGCGTATAACGCTCATCCTAAAAAATTTACCTAGATATACTAAACCTTCTTTACGTATAGATATTACCTAGAATACTAGAGAGAAGTAGTAGGTATAATACTTAAGAAGCTAGGGAAACCTAATTACGTAGACCTAAAAGTATATAGAGTTATCTCCCTACTTAACTACCTAGGAAAAGTCCTTAAATACATTATAGTAAAACATCTTAGAGTGCTTATAGAAGCTACCTACCTCCTATACCTATCCTAAATAGGTAGATAACTATAGAAGTTAGTAATTAATATAGTAATAATCCTTATATATATTATCTAAGATGAGAGGAGGGCATAGCGTAAGATATTAACCCTATTCCTTAACGTATAAGGTGCCTTTAATCATATAGCCTATAACTAGCTCTTATATGTAATAGGGGAAATTAGGCTCCCTACCTCCCTCCTAGTATAGGTAAAGACATTTACTAGTAGGTAATAACTCTAGATCTCCTTTAATAGCTAATAAGAGGACCTTTATCTAATAGTTTTAGGAATCCCCTAGGGAAGCCTAGTCTTACTAATCCTATTTCTTATTTATATACGAAAACTCTTTTCCTCTTACCTAGTCTAATTCCTCTTATATATTAATAATGTTTTAATTATAATCTCCTTAACGAGCTAGAAGAAAAATGCGTAGATCCTCTAGTAGGAAGCTAACTAGCTTTTCTTACTTAGAACCTAATATGCCGTTAATTTTAATAAAGATAAAATAGACCTTATCTATTTTATAAGCTTAGACGAGGCTAAGTAAGCTATAATTATACTCCTAGGAGACTATATAGTATAGCTAAAGTAACTCATCTAATAGCTTAGGATATAGTTTAATATATACCTATTATTCTAGTAGTATACGATAATTTAGAACGCCTAAGTAAAGTAATTACTTAGTAGGCTTATGCGGCTAGCTAATATATAATATAGACTATCCCCTACTACTATCTAATAACTATACCTAGCTTATATATAAAGTGTAGTAGATTATAGGTCCCTAGTTTTCTAGTAAGTTAGTAGCTCTAAGATACTTAGATAAACACTTTAAAATAATAGACTACGCTAAATCCTAGGAGCCTTTTAGACCTCCCTAATTACCCCTATAGAAATTAAAGTAGGACTTCTCCCCCCCTATCTAAGGCGTAATATATTACTTTAAGTGTACGCTATATAACTCTTTAAGCTTAGTTACTAACACCTAGTACGTATAATTATTAATAAGTTTAAATAAGAGAACATACTAGGATGATAGATATAACTTAAATATATCTAGAGCATAATTTCGGACCTAGTAATAGGTACTAAAAGCCTAATTAAACATAGTTCCTTTCCCCTATAGAAAAAGACTACTTTATATAAAGTTAAGATTAGCTACCTCCTAAAGGAATAAGAAGCCTAAGTATATATTAGACGTATAGGATATATAACTTAGGTAGTTATTCTATACTCTAACGCTTTATCTATCCTAAAAGAAAATAGAGTAGGTATAGGAATTATAGTATATAATACCTAATAAGATAGTATAAGAGTAGTAGTAAGATATAGAGGAAATACTAGACTATACTAGCTCATATATAATAGAGAACTAGAGGCACTTATAAGGGCTATAGAGTTAGCTACCTAGAAATAGCTAGGACGACGGATTATAGTATATATAGATAACTAAGCTATACTATACTGCCTCTAAACCCTATCTAACCTACTAGGTTAAGAACTATAACTTTAAGCTATAGATATAGGCCACTTAATTATAGCTAGATAAGGTAGTCTTACCTTCTTATAGGCCCTAGGCTATATAGGGATTAGAGGAAACCTATAAGTAGACGCCCTTATAAAGGAGGCTACTAAGCTAACCCTAGAGAATAACTACTTAAGTACTACCTTCCTTAGAATGCGCGTACGATAAAGAACTATAATAGAATAGATAGTATATACTATATAATACTAGGAAGCATAGATAATACTATTCTAGAGGTTATATATATATAACTTCCTATCTATACTAAGGATGTCTATCTAACTCCCTAAGTATAGATAACTAGAAGTATTAGCCTACTTCTAATTAAAACTAAACTATAGCTACTTTAAAGCCTACCTATTACGGTTTAGTAAGATAGCCTAGGATAACTATAGCTATAATAATACTACCTAATAAATACTATAACATCTTATTAGTAACTACCTACTCTATAGCTCTACTAGGAAAGAAGTAATATAGGAAGTACTTTAGGCATATAATAATAATAGTAGGAATATAGCCTCTATACCCTATAGAGAGCTATTCTAAGGAGACATTAGTTAATAATTTATACTTAAATTTATATATCGGACGAAGGTTTCTACTAGGGTATAGTATATATAAAGAGTAGACTAAGGGAAAAGAAGAGTAAAAAGAAGAAGAGAGAATCTATTCTAAGCTCTATTAGTAGAGTAAATAACAAGCTCTATAATCCCTCTACTTATAGTTCCCGTAGATACTACCCTAGAACCCCTCTAACTAAAGATAATCTAGGAAGGGACCCCTTTATCCATAATCTACCTAATACCCTCTAGGCTTATATCCCTCCTCTACCTTATATAGAGTCTCTACTAAGACCCTAGCCCTCTAGATTAGAAAGGCGTTAATATAACTTAGATAACTACTCCGTAACTACTCTAGCTAAACCCTCCTACTCCTAATAATAATTAGATAACCGTTTAGTAGTAAGGTAAGGGCTTAATGCTATTCATCTATATAGTATACCTAGGCTAGGGCGGCATATAGAGCCCTATTATTAGTTATAATGTTAATGTATAGTTATCTAATAGTAGTAACTAGGCTAGATTAAATTATAAGTAACATTAATATAGATTAAACCTAGGTTCTTAAGTATTCTTTATTTTCTATAATAAGTATTAGCTAACTATGCTAGTTAGCTAGAAGATAGATACTACTAGTTAAAAACCTTACCCGCTTTTTTTACCTTTATAGGTGCTAAGAAAGGTATTATATAACGCTAACTAAGAATAGTACTATTAGGGATAGTACTAGAACGCTATAGTAGAGTATATATATAATCTACCTTACCTACTACCCTATACTATATTTACTTTTCTATATATACCTTCTCCCTATCCCTCTTCCTTTCCTTACTCTTACTCTATACTACCTATCTACTTAGATAATAGTAGGAAGGCTAGTCCTTAGCCCCCCCTTACCTAAAAAGAGCCTAGATAAACTATCTATCTATACCTACCCTATACTAATATTATACTAAGAATTACGCCTTATTATATAAGATTCTTTAGCTAGGTATCCCTACTTACCTTATAAACGTATATAGGATCCCCTATAGATAGCTCTATCTTAGATAGCCTATAGCTCTAGTAAGACGTAAAATAATTAATTAATTAATTAATTAATTAATTAATTAAACCTATAGCTCTAGTAATACGTAAAATAAATAATTAATTAATTAATTAATTAATTAATTAATTAGTTATATATAATGAAATCACTATAATTAAGTCATGGTAATTCAAATAAGAATTACGGGGAGGTTGGCCGAGTGGTTATGGCGCTAGTTTCAGGGCATCTTCTTGAATAGAAAGTTCCGATCTAATGGATATCCTCTAGATTACTAGTTGGGTAACCTTCGTGGGTTCGAGTCCCACACCTCTCAACATCACCTTTTGCCTTTTGTTTTACTCTCCTCTAGCAATGTGAGAGCATGTAAACAAGTCAAAACAATGCATTTACGCAATTGTCATTATGTTGAGGTGGTCGAGCTTTTAGCTACCTAGTGGGCAGTTCTGCCCCACAGCCTGTTCTTGCCAAATTACCCAATCCACAATGTCTTCAGTGCACGCAAGTAACAGTCCGTTTCGTCCGTTGGACAGGAACTATTGTTGCTCCAGAACGGCGGTAGGTGATCTCCACTCTTCTAGCGACTCCCTTGGCTCAGCAAAACTTCGCAGTGGAGTTTCTACGCAAGAGACTCAAGGCAGAGATGAACGAGCACAAGGAGCATTCATGCGCGTGGTCAAGTTGGACCGGGATTGTTCGAGCGATCTGAACCTGAACTGATCTACTTACTGGCGACTGCAGTTCCGTGCGTCAGAAATCTTTGGACCAAGACTCGATTGAAGACTGCGCCTAGCGTGTCACCAGTTCGACTGCGGGCCCGATGTTCCTTCTAGAAGATCTGCATTCGAATACGAAGTGTTGACATCAAACACATCCCTACTCTACAATCCCTCGTACTCCAGACTGGCCAGAATGAAGGGACCGGCTCCCTTTAAGTCATTCTCGACGACAGGCACAGTCGTGTAGTACTCATAGCTCGCGTCGCCCTTTAAGCTACCCACTTCGACAGTTCCCTCCCAGTTCAGGTACCCGCCAGTCGCATTCGCCTTGACAAAGTTCTGCACCAACCCCTGGTAGCCCTTCGTACCGGCAGATTTTGCGCGCTGCGCCAGCTCGCCAGAGAAGTAGTTCAAACGGGATCCCTTGAGCAGAGAGTAGACAAACATGGCGGAGCCGCTGCTCTCGATATAATTGCCCTCGCGCTCAGCGAGCTCGGGGTCGAGCAAAAGCAGCCAACCATTGCCAGTGTCGGACGTGTTTCCGATGCGCTGGACATCAATGACGCCGCCCATGATGTCTTGGAACTGGGCCTTGAGATCCGCAGCGTTGGTCTTGACTTGCTGCATCTCACCGGTCGCCGAAGAGTTGGCAAGCAGCGTGTCGAGCTCCTCGAGGACGTCGACGGCCGCCATGGTCCACCAGCCCAGCGCGCGGCTCCAGACGTAGGGACTCGCGCCGGTTTCGGGGTCGCTCCAGTTGCGCCTGGATGACGCGGGCTCGGAGCCGTCGTAGCCGTGGTACAGGAGACGTGTGGTCTCGTTGTAGACGTGCTTGTGGATCAGAGTGAATTGTTTGTGAACATCCAGCAAAGCAGTGGCGTTGGTCGGCGCAAAGAGGCGCGTGTGGTGCACGTAGAAAGGCAGCGCCATGTAGAGGCCATCGAGCCACTGCAGTTTGTCAGACGTGTTTCAAGCCAAACAACGAAAATTGAGAAAGTTTTTTTCTGGCTCTTTCTTTTTCGAAAAGAGGAAGTCAAAGCAAAACAAAGAAGTGAAAGGGATATGACCCACCATCTGATTCGGGTAGTCTGGATCACGGTGCCAAAAGCCTCCCTCTTCGTTTCTTGGTTGAATGTTCAGCCTGTCCCTCCACGTGTCGGCCGCAACCTTCCACTTCTCTTCGCCCGTTTTTTCCCAAAGAAGTAGATAAATAGTTCCCATACGGAAATCGTCCAATGACTCCTTCTCCGGGGGCCATTCCGCAAACGAACCGTCGTCGTTGACCAGCCCCTCGAGCTGAGACTGAATGTACGTCGAGTAGGTGTCATTGCCTGTTGCTGTGTGCACCTTGTCAAGGCCGCGGTACAGCACTGCTTGCTCATAGCCCAGGTCTTTCTCGACACCCTTGACCAAGAAGGAGGCGGCCATCCATGTTGAGTAGGGCTGTGCAGAAAGGATAGGGGTGGTCAGGAGTGGGAGGAGCGAGAGGGAGAGGTTGATTGGGGACCTCATGTTTCTGTTTGAAAGCTCAATGACTGGATAGGGCAGATCGAGTGAGCAAAGTGTGGAACTGCGGCTGAAGCGCAGTGGACCAAAACCTGGGAGTGAATGATTGATGAACGCCGCACTTGCTGAAGCAGGAACTAGGAGAGCCGCAGTCCAGTTTATACAGACATTGTCCTACTCACTCGCCCTACAAGGAGTCGCCGCGGCGGCCTACAATAATCCTCCACTGCCGTATCCACAGCGCCTCTTTCGTCTTCCATTCCCTCCCGCCAAGTTGCGGCCTCCACAAGGACCGGCGTCCTCGAAAGACATCAGGCAAACATCCAACACGTTCATCGTCCCCAACCGACTTGGCGGCGCTGTATGAAGTGACCGGGTAGAGGGCTTGGCTGCTATTTCTGGTCTGCCAGAATGGTGGACCGGACGTGCTTGGGTGATCTTGCCTCAAACAGGCTATCGTGGAACAGGTAGGCGGAAAGATGATTCGACGGAGAAACTAATGGGCGAGCTGATGGCCCAAGCGAGCGCGCGCGCGGTAATCCGGTCCGTGAACCAGTGTGGTGCTCATGGGAGCCCCGCGTGCGGGGCCCCACATCGGTCGTTGGGCGGATCCAATTGTCCCGCTTTTGTGGCCCTTCTCCACGATGCGATCTCGTTCACTCTCAATTTAAGCCTTTACCGGATGGATCAGTGTCAATTGTTGTTCATTCCGTAGGGGAGTGGTGCGTGGTGTTGAAGTGAGTTGCTTGCTTAGCAAGTGAGATGAGAGAGATTGCTCGCTCGTACAATTGAAACGCCGAGATCAGGCCTGTGGGCCCTACCAACAACTCCGTTCCTTCTTCTGACAAAACGGAAGCAGCCGCTTAGAAAGTTGGACCGACTCCAGGATAGCGTTGAGTACGTGCGCATGCAGGCGACAATCTTTCCTTTTGCCAGATCTGAGTCAGTTTTTTTCTTGCGTGCATGCAAATGCTGCAACTCCTCCATCTGACGGCAAGAGAGACGGGAAAAGTATCATGAATGGACTTACTGATTAAATGCTCAAGGAATGTCGGAAGAAAGCCTCAAACAGCTTTTTACGCAAGCCCAAGTATGTGCATAATTTGTAGAAATCTGTACCGTATCCATTGCCGGAAACTGTGCCAAATCGAGTACAGTTCAAAAGAGAGACCGCTCAAGAAAATGAATTCCCGAGCTTTTCAATAGTGTGAGATCAGGTACGTAGCCACAAGCAAACGAACTGAGGTTACGGCCCAGGTCCAAGTACCAGAACTTGGCAATCCCTGGAAAGGTGAGCAAAACAGTCGGACACGGTTTTTTTGTTCACATACCTCGAAATTCATGCCAAAAATGTCTGCCACAAAATTTAGAGGAATGAAGAAAAAAGCTAGTTGCGTAAGTTTCGTAACTTCTTCCGCTTGCTTTATGGCTTTACGACTTTCGATGATGCTCATTACTCCAATGAGAGCGGGGACGGTGGACTCGAAATGACGCTGAACACTGTCTAGCGTGGGATTGGACTTGACCTGGGATTCTTTGATGCTCTGCTCCAGTAGTGGATACTGCATGGCCTCCAAGCACAGGGAAAGCTGATTGTGAAAACGATTTCGGGAGTACATGTAAACCACTGCCATTGCAGCATAGAGTCCCGTATCCGGCATCGAAAACTCATGTTGTAGTCGGCCACTTCGAGTTGATGGTCGATAGCCTTGAAAACTTCGTGCTCATCCTTCATTGCAATTCGACAGAGCTGTAATTGAAGAACTCGCATGACGTTCGGACCAGACACCGCTCGAAGATCGAAACAAGCCAGATCGGCCATAAGGATTGGGGTGTGAGCCTCGTAATCCCCAACCTCCTTGGATCACGGTGAGAAGAACGGTGAAAACCTCGCGGGAGCTCATCAAATATAATGTGAATGAGCAACACAGTTTGGTAAGTCCGCAGACAGTAAGCCCTGTGCTCCAGGCCGAATTCAACAATTTTTGAAGGCTTAATTCCCAGAGGTGCAATCCCTAAACTCAAGGGGACAACTGTAAGGCTACGATATCCAATATCTCGTTTATTTGAAAGAAGTAGTCGTCTATGAACGTCATAAGGTAATGCTTCTGCATACAATTGGTGGAGAAAAACGTGTTAGTCTGCGGGTCCAACACTCCGTACTTACATCCACTCAAGAGTGATCTTTAAACCGCAATGAATTGCTTTGGGGCTTCGCGAAGAACGAGATAGTCTTCGAGAATTCCCACAGAGTCAATTCCTTTTGCGTGTGAAATTGAGACGATGAGGACCTGCACAGAGTTATGCTTCCTACCCTCTAACACGTATAAAAGTCTTTGTCCTTTGAGACTCTCTGCGAATGAATGGGAGTCCTTGTGTGTTTTTACGTCCATCTTGTGGTGCCCATCAATGGTCCTGTTGTAATCAAAGACGTAGAATTGTGCCTCTTCCACGGAGGAAACATCTGGCGCGTTTCCAAAATCATCGTTGCTGATTCCAGTTTCTCCTTCGGGACCATGGTCCGCTCGATTGTGCTCGTTGTGATCTGCGTCCCGAGTCGTGCCAATTCTGTCTACTCCGAATGACCTCTGGATCTCCTGTACCACTCACGTCACGATAATCGTCGGCCCAAGAGTTGATGGAAATGGATTAGTGGTCTGCACAGCCCTGATATGCTTGACCCTGGTCTGTTTGGTTCTGGTCTGACTAATCCTGGTTTGAATGTGTCGAATCGCCGATAGACTGATTTTGTGCTTCATCCAGATCAGGCTCGGCATTGCTTTGATCCTGCAGGCCTAATTCAAGGTCGTTTTCTGGACTCATATCCGACTTCCTGCAATGGCAAAGGCTTCAGTCGATGGGCATAAGAAACAAACTTCGGAATGCAACAGAGGAAAAGATGATGCCGCTCCGACAGGCTGCATGTAAGGCCTGCAGCACTTATCTTTTCCCTTACTCAGCCCCTGTTGCCGACTTGAGGGCCATCGCTGACCGTACAACAGCATTGTTGACGTGATGCCTGCGATTTCAGGCGGCTAGCCTTCATTTGTTGATGTTCCTCTGTTCATTCGGATAAAGTCGCCTTGGTTTT